AAACCTTCCTGAGGTACTTGTTCTCACATGCACCTCACAGCGGGAGACTATACAAGTCAGACAGGAGGGGCGAGGCGAGGGGGGGTCAGGAGCCAAGACATGACGTGGATGAAGTGGAGGACAAAGCAACAGAGTCGAATGCTACAAAAGGAAATGTTGCTTTTTGACATGTTAGACAAGTTAGTATTATCGACTAAAGAGCGGAGAAGAAGAAGAAGAAGAAGAAGAACGGGTCCACAGATATCACATCATCACCCCCTCCCTCTTGCCTGCATATAATTTTCCAGATTTTCTGGCTCACCCTGATGCAGCCCTCCCTGATCTCATGCAGAAAATTTAGGAGCGAGCTGGTGGAAAAACACACAAAAATAACTTCTTTTTTTTAACCTCCTCCTCTTCCTTCTCCTCCTCACAGCAATCATGAGGAGGTTCAGCTCTGAGGGCTCCCTCCTTGATCTGGACTTTCTCCCGTGGAAGAAGGTGGCCCTGAAAAACCCGGATCATGAGAGGACGCGTGACTTTGGCACCTACACGCCTCACCTGGAGGAGGACGAGCTGGATGGGGGGAGTGGCAGGGACACCCCGACCATCCTGGAGCCTGTTGGGGCGCATGAAGCGGGGAGGGGGGAGCTGAGGAAGGAGCACAGTGTGAGCGTGGAGGAGCTGAGCGAGTTACATAAACAGAGCCACCTGCGGGTGATGAGTGAGGGCTGCAGGGCGTACAGTGACGGACAGCTCGCCCCCGACAACCAGGGGAGCACAGAGAGCATGGGGGGGGAACACCCGCCTCACCCGTCTTCCTCTTCTTCTTCCTCCACACACGGACACCGCCGAGCCAAACTGTCTGCAGCCAAACTTCACCTGAAGAGTCTGTTTGGACCGGTGAGACACACACACACACACACACACACACACACACACACACACACACACACACACACACACACACACACACACGATGGATCCAACCTGTGGCTCCTGTCCCACATATGGTTCCCCTCTCTCTCTCTCTCTCTCTCTCTCTCTCTCTCTCCCTGATATCTGACTGTATCCAGCAAAAATAAATCAGTAACCTCCTCGAGTGTCTCCATGACTGTAGTTTATATCCCACACATCCCGTGCAGCCTGAGCTTTCCGGTGTGCCCTCTAGTGGTGACCTCCAGTAACACACGTAGTGCATCGCTAAGTATGTGAAGGGTTTTGTCCAGGACTGTTTCAGGCTTCAGGCCATGATTACTGTCGTGTGTGGCGATGATTTACTTTCTTCATACATATACAAATAAACATGAAGTACGAGTAATTTTCTTTATTGAAGGGGAAGGAAAAAGTCAGGATGAGAGAGGGTCGGAGTTGAACCCACGTCGCTGCCGTCGACTTCCTCTGGTACATGAAGCACGCAAACTAACCGCTAGGCTGAAGGCTCCCTGTTGATATCTTGAAATATCTGCTGAATATTTCAAGATGTATCGGTCCATCGTTTAATCTACTTTTGTAAACAATTGTAGAAAGTTCTCATTTCGTTTTATGTTAAGATTGAAAGGCAGTGTGCTGCAGCGGTACGTCTTTGTATAATAAAAACTTTAAACGTGACAGATGTTACCTCTGCGTTCTCTGTTTCAGAGTCCTCACTCCTCAAACTCCAACCTGTTCAACCCAGAACACAAAGACAGGTGAGAAGCACATAATGCCTAACTGCACGGCTGCTCATCCTGCTTCACCAAACTGCAGAGAAATAATTAACCAACATTTAATCAACCGACGTTTGTCCTCCCTTTTCCGGCTCAGCGTGGTGGAGCGGCGGTCTCGGCTGCAATTCATGCACCAGTGGTCTCAGGTGGGACACACTAAGAAGAGGAAGGTGTGCATGGAGGAGCTGGAGAAGTGGGCGGAGTCTCTGAACGCCCTGCTGGCCAGTCAGAGTGAGTCTACCTATTAACTCATAAAAACACAGAAATCTCTTTAAATGTTAAAGTTTCACCCCCGACTTCATGTTCCCTACCAACCCCACGAGGAAAATCTCTGTGTCCTACATCAGATCGTCAGCTGATGCCCTGCAAAAATGTCTGATGTGAACACTGTGACATTTAGTGTGTGTTTGTCTGTGTTTCTGTTTCTATCAGCGCTCACCTGTACCTTCAGAGCTGTTGACCTGTGAACAGACGTCACTGTTTCTGTGTGCTGAGTCATAAAGAGCAGAGCTGCTGCTATCTATAGAAAACACACACAGGTGTAAATCACGTATTTATTGCAGTGTTCCTCATGGTTTGTGTGTGCGTGCGTGCGTGTGTGTGTGTGTGTGTCACATCCTTATTAGGTGTGACCTGAAAACACCTGAATGTTTATCAGAATCTACCAACAGTGCGTGGTGAAACTTGTACTTGAAGTTTCCCCCGGTCTGTAAGGTGCTTTGATGCTTTGATCACAGCAATCAGCGTCATCACGTCTGCTGTTATTGTGCGACTGGGCTCATCACTGTGTCAAATACCGCACAACAATAACACACGGGAAAGTCCCGCCCACTGCTGATGAACAGATAAATCTTTGCTGAAGTGTACGCTCTCCTCCTGCTGTGTTTTATCAGTCAACATGTCGCTCACTGTGAAGTCTGTTTCTGCAGCGTGATTTTAATCGCCCTGTCCGACATCAGCACCAGACGTCTGTTTCAGGTATCAAAAGTAACTTTGAAGGAATAATCCACCTTCTGGTTGATGGTCTTATATACATTTTTTTAGCTCATAAATATCTTTCAGTAAATATTTCAGTCTGTTTAATAACAAGATACAAACTCCTCCCTTGGCAGATTTGAGGAAATTACTAAGACTTGACTCCACACACTAAAACGCAGTTGACTCAGATGAAAGTTTACACATAAGAAGAATACTCATGAGGAGACATGATTCAACATCACACTTCTGTTCTCGTGTCTTGCTCAATCACATCTGCTGAACTTCTCGAAAGGCATCGCATATATCCTAAAAAAGACATTACCATTATCAGGGTCGTGTCACATTGACCCACCTAGACTAAACTGTGACGTCTATAACACTGGAGCAGATAATAAGTCTACCAAACATCCTTACAGATATCAGGAAAAACAGTTGACACTCTCTAAGCTGTACTTGGTGTTCTAATAACAGCTGAACTCTGTCAGGTCTGACTGACATTAGAGAACAGTGAATAAACCTAATGACATCTGTACAATCTAAATAAATACAGAAATTCCACCACAGGCAGCACTGCAGCGTTCTGCCCCCTGGAGGCAATCTGTATATTGAGACCTACAGTATGTCACAGTATCTTCCTCCTCCTCAGCCGGTGTCCAGGTGTTCAAGGCGTTCCTGCGCTCAGAGTTCAGCGAGGAGAACCTTCAGTTCTATCTGGCCTGTGAACAGTACAAACAGTCGTCCAACAACTTCAGCATGCAGCGGAGAGCACGAGACATCATCAGCACCTACATCCAGCCCGGGGCACCCAGAGAGGTACATACCTGTGAACATAGAACATAAACACACCTGTCACTTCAGCTTTATTATCACCAGGAGAGCAAAACACACACACACTCACCAGCACAGAGGCAGGCACACCTGTTCACATGTACACCTGGGACATGAAGCTTTATCTCCACCCAGAGAGGTGCACACCTGTTCACATATACACCTGTGACATGAAGCTTTATCTTCACCCTCACCCAGAGAGGTGCACACCTGTTCACATATACACCTGGGACATGAAGCTTTATCTCCACCCAGAGAGGTGCACACCTGTCTGCTTCTATACATCATATACATGTAACACCCACAGGTAACAAATTAAACCCTTATCATCAAACTGAGAGTGAGATTTGAGTCCAGCAGTCCTGGATGTTACGAGGAAATCTTTCTGAGCTACACCCCCTCCCTCCCTCCCTCCCTGTCCCCGGCTTTACTTTGTTTCAGGTGAACCTGGACAGTAAGACCCGGGAGCTGACCCTCCAGCTGCTGCAGGCCCCCTCCCACACCTCGTTGTCCCGCGCTCAGGCACGGATCTACACCCTGTTGGACTTGGACTGTTACCCCCGCTTCCTTCAGTCCAACATGTACCTGTCCCTGCGGCACCCAGATGACTAACACACCTGGACTCTGCAGGAGGTGTGGCTAAAGAGACTTCTCCCTGAGGATTAATCCCACATTTAAAAAAAACAAATGTGATCATCTCCTTGGAGATTAAATTCTTCATGATCGTGTTTGCTTGTTTAACACAGAACAGCTGCAGAGGTGAATTTTCCTGTCTGTCTGAAACTCTGCTGCTCCTTTAATCATTAACCCCCCCGTCACCTTTGAGCTTTAACGCTTCATTAACCCGACTTACAACGTCAGGGTTACGTCTGAGCTTCTGCTGACTCCAAAAAAACAAGTCGATCCTGTAAAAGTTGAATTTCACGGTGAGGAGGAGGAAACCTGAGCTCAGTGAACTTTCTGTCTCCGTCTGTGTCCTGAAGAGGGTCAAACAAAGACTGAGTGTGTGTGAACACTTCACCTTCAGACACACACCTGTTCAACAGGTAGAGAACGCCTCCTTCAGCGTTCGTCTCTCTATATCTCTGAAACGGAACATGAGCGTGTTTGAGTTTCTAAGAGGAACAATAAAACATGTTTTTTTTGTTTTTTTATCTCATGAGTCTGAGTGTTCACTGTTTCAGGTGAGATCGGTCTGGGCTGCAGGCAGGTTAATCCGAGGACGCACCCGTACCTGCAAAGGATGCTGGGACATGAAGAGGTGGAGTCGGAAGTAGGTGGAGCTAAGAGACAATACAGCGGCATTAAACTCCAAACCTCCAAAAACCCTGTTGTTGTAGATGAAGAGTGAAATATAATCTGTGCTCAGACACGGGACAGATCAGAACAAATCTGATATTTTGAAAAATAAACGTTCCTGATGATAAAGCAGCACAGGTCACGGGAACGCTTTAAACATGGATCAAGTTTTTATCCTCAACATGAACAGACTCAGTCCACACTGCATACTGTTTCACTTTTATTTTAAAATAAACCAAGAAATGTTTGATGAGTCATTTATCTCCTTTTAAAAATCATGATTAGTCCTTTCACATCAGCACAAAACTCCTGAGAACTTCCTGCAGTTTTTAGAGTGAGCTGAAAGGGGAAGAAATGTTTCTTCTTCAGCAGAGTGAAGCCGTCACTTCATGTGTCCAGGTTAAAGGTAGAGTCCGTCTCTTTTTCAGTCTTCACACGTTACCACCTGTCACTCATCATCAGTCTCTCTCTCTCTGGTCACCACGGCCGCGTGCTCCTCCGCTCCTGCCTCTGTTTGACCCACTGAGCGCTGAAACAATTCTCTCCTACGGTCCACGACCACACTCCTCTGTCTCTGTCCTGTGAGGGACATCTCTGACTGGACAACAAGTCTCCTGCTGCTCCTCCTGGATGCTGATCTCTGTCCTTAATCCCGTCCTCCTCTTCATCAGATGGACCCGGCTGTGTGTCTGAGACGTCCTCTGTGATGGACGCAGACTGAGGAGGAGGCAAGAGGAGGCGGGACCTGATGAAGGGGAGATCACAGTGATAAAGAGGAGGACAAACACTTAGATTATAACGAACATCATATTAACTTTGTGTGCAGACGTGCAGGAGCAAACAAAAGTTCTTTACGATCAGAGGATCAAATCAACTCCTGATAATAAACAGGTTTACATCTAAAGTGTCAGTACCTGGTTATAGGAGTGTGAATCGTGGCCAACCTGTGTGTGTCTGTGTGTCCGGCTGCCTGTGACTGATCCTCCACAGCTCTCACACCTGAGGAGGTACAAGGTGCTGACACATGAGGGCGGAGAGAACACCTGACTGCACTGTGAGGTAAATCTAACATGACTCTATGTTCACAGGAAGCTACGAGAGAAACAGCAACAGGGTTATGTTTAACATGAGAACACTGGAACACTGAACGAGAGGTTTCACACTGAGACCTAAGAGAGCATTACTGCCGGTTTCCATAGGACCTGTGAGCGCAGCACTGACTTCTAACTCCAGCTCACCTGTCAGGTGTGTGTCCTGCAGACCGGCAGCTCTAATGTCCAGGTGTCGACTGTACAGGCTGCGTCTCGCTACCAGACCCTGATCGCTAGCAAAGAGAGGAGAGGAGAGGAGAGAAGGAGGAGAGAGGAGCAGGAGATGAAAGGAGGAGAGAGGAGAGAAGAAGGAGAGAGGAGAGGAGGAGGAGAGAAGGGAGAGGAGAGGAGAGAAGGAGGAGAGAGGAGAGGAGGAGGAGAGAAGAAGGAGAGAGGAGAGGAGGAGGAGAGAAGGGAGAGGAGAGGAGGAGAGAGGAGCAGGAGATAAAAGGAGGAGAAGGGAAGAGGGGGAGGAGGTGGGTGGATGAAGTAATGGAACAAAAGAAAAAAAGAAAAATTATAAAAACTGAACATAAAAGGAAGAACTGAGGATAAAATGAAAACATGAACAAATTAAATCAAAAAATGAAAAAGCACTGACAGAAAAAATGGGCTGTAAGGAGGAGGTGACCTCTGACCTCTGTGACACGGACACTTTGAATAAAAACACTTTCTCACTGGGTTATTTTCGTCGAACTGGGTTTAATGGTTCTACAAAATCATCACACAGGCGTGTCGTTTCCTGCTGGGCAGATTTTAAAACGGAGAGATTGGAGTCTGATAATCTAACAGCAAGATAACGTCTTTCACTCAGACGTCCAACAAAGAGACGAGACGGCAGGAGGACGCTGGTCAATGAAAACCAGACTCTGATCTGTTAAGGGAACTGAAGGACAAAATACCAAAAATACACCGAGAGGTAATAAAGTTAAAGAAAGAAATACATGGAGAGGGTTGGATGACACACAGAGGAGAGAGAGAGAGAGAGAGAGAGAGAGAGAGAGAGATAGTCAGTCAGTTATAAAAACAGCTGATCTGTAGGCGGCAAAACTACGGGAATATCAAACAAAAGATGAAAGATATTCAACTTGAGCGCTCAGAGCGTCAAAAAAAAAAAAAAAAGGCAGAGCTTTTCTCTTTCTGCTGTGATCGCTCTCTACTCATTGAAAACAAGTGAAAAAAGACGCTGGCGCTCAGAAAACAAACGCTTGGTTGAGACACGGGGGGGCCTTTTAACGTCTCATCCAGGTCACCACCCGTAAACATGTTAAGAGGGGGCGGAGTCATGCCGGTCTCACCTGGTGCGTCTTGCCCTGCAGCGCTCGAGGAGGGGGGACTGATGGGCAGACAGCGGAGCGGCTCGAGTGGAGGCCCTGCTGGGGGAAGAGCTCACGCTGAGGGGCGGGGAGTACTGGGAGGATACCGATCGCTGGGGGGAGTGAGGCGGAACAAACGGCCACGGAGGAACCCTCTGCTCTCGTCGCACCGCTGGGGGGGATATAACAGTATTTAAATGTTAAACCTACATATCTATGAAGATATTCACATCAGAAATTTGTAGTGTTTCATGCAGGTTTACCTTCTCTCTCCATCACAGAGTAGGGTTTGATATCTCCGTCCGGCTTTCTGAGGGGAACCTTTCTCAACTGGGCCGCTGGGGAGGAGAACACATTTACAGAGGGGACCAGGAACAACGACATGACGGCATGCTGTTCTACACAAACTACAAAGTTACTGAAATAATGAACTGCCACCGGATACTGTTAGAAAAAATGCTTTCGATTCCAAGACTAGGCCGAGACCTTCAAAAAGTGGTCTCAAGACAGAGACCGATTTCAAGTACCACAACATTATCCCCTTCTATCCAAGAACTAAACAGACTTTATTGTGATTAAATAATGAACAACAGGCTGCAGGGATGCTGAAATAACAACATCATGATCAGCTCTGTCTGAAAGACGAGAAGAAAACAAGAAGAAAATGCTTCTTTCCTGAATGGATCGTATCTGAGTCGACATCAGAAGAATCTCAAAGCTGACAAGACTTCAGAAAGAAACGTAAACATGTTGTGCAATGTTAAAACGTTGTCTTCTTTGTGTCTTTGCTCTGACAGTTTATGTAGACACATGACACATGAAGACTTTTGCTTCAGTTTTAGTATTTTTACTCCACAGACAGACGTTTGTGGTGTTTTCACATTTTGCACATATCTCCTGAAATCTTCCTGAAGTGTTCGGGCCGAGCTGCATGTGTGAACACAAACAGCTGAGTGTGTCACTCCAATCTTACCTGCCACGCCCCGGGTAAGTTTTACAAGTGACGTCGGGATGAGCTGATGTGGGAACGCAGCAGGAAATATTCACTGAGAGCAGAAGAAGGCAGCCCAAAACCATAGACCGTCTGCACGCAATCAGTGATATAAAAGCAAGAAACTGTCCTCTTGGTCGGACTCTGTTCCTTCTTCTGCGTCTTTTTACGTCATGTCCCCCCATCCCCCCCCCAGGGAAAGTCTCCTGCTGTGTGGTACACGTGTGAACAAACAACTCAGGAAGATTTCAGGAGCAGCCTGCCTGAAATGTTCTAGAAACTTTCAGGAGTGCATGTGTGAAAACAGTTTTGGAGAGTCTGCAGGGCAGGTTCAGGTATCAGTTGGTCTGGGGGATCTGAGGGGGCTTGAGGGGGCTTGAGGGGGTCTGAGGGGGTCTGAGGGGGCTTGAGGAGGTCTGAGGGGGTCTGAGGGGGCTTGAAGGGGTCTACAGTCTGTGTCTCTCTGAGGATGCTGTGATACCTTGGACAGCTGGTACAATATAGGACAAGATTCATGACATGTTGTTCCCGTGCAGGATGATAAATACAGGTGAGGGGATGAAGACATGAAGAGAAAGAAGTTAACGTATCAAACACACAGTCTTATATAAAGCTTATTATGGGATAAATGCTCTTATTGTTATAGGACAAAGGGGTGGAGGGGGGGTGTTTAGAAAATCAAAGATGTTCTTACAAATATCCGTACATGCCCTGATCCGTCAGAGGAGCGCAGACAGAGCCTGAGAGAGTGTGTGAGCACAGGTGGAGGTGGAATAAAAACACGTCAGGATCTTTAAGTGTTTCTAACATCGGTACTGATGGAGGACAACTTCATGAACTAAAGAAAAGAAAATGAATATGTCGCTCTTGTCTCTCAGTAAATCTGCAGCATGCTGAACATGTTTCACATCGAGCCTGATGAATAACACAGGAATGTAGAGAGAGAGTGTGGGATTATAAAGCTTCTTTTTTTAGAGACAAAGAGACTCGATGTTGAAGGAGAAATACCGAGAATACCAAACACAGCCCACATTCATACCTCCAAGAGAGAGAGAGAGAGAGACCTGACTACGACAACGTACTTAGAGAGATAAGAGAAGAAGAGTTACCTGATCTGTTCTGGAAGAATCCTTCAAACACCACAAAGTTATTCACCTGTGCACACAAACACAAACACTAACGTTAATACAACCTCAGCTCCTGAAAAGTGGTGCGGGACTTTGTGTAAAATGTAAATAAAAACAGAATGCGGTGTTTTGAAATACATGTTTAAAGGCAGGGTTGGTAATTTAGAAAGTAAGTAAGCTCACAGTATAAACTCTGTCTTCAGTGACGTGCTTTGAGTGTGGGCTAGAGCACGTACCTCGTGGCAGACATTGGTGGAAGTTTTTACAGACTTACAACTGCTACAGATGACGAATTCTCTTTGTTCCTGTTTCAGAGAACATGAGTTATTCATTTCTATCAGGACCTAAAGACCATTTCAACCAAAATCTCAAAAAGTGGATCTGGAGGAAATTACCAACCCTGCCTTTAAGTGACAATTGCACAATTTCATGTCAGCAAAATGTTTCAAAGAAGAAGCTTCAGTGGAAACATTGTGTGTAAAAATCGTTGTAGGTTTATCAGAGCCTCTCTTCTCCGTTTTTGGTTTAAACATCTGATCTCATATAAAAAAAATCTCAGAGACAGATCTGAAAACACATAAAAAAAACCGTTCAGAGACAGAGAGTCTAAATATAACCCGGACAAATGGAACAATCAGACTGTCACATGAGCGCAGACGTCTCCGTGTCCCCTGAGGGTTCTTAACATGAGTATAATCTGGAGGTCACACTGACAGAGGAGGACAGTGAGTGTGATGCAGAGATGGAGAGTACACACTGTACCTGAGGAACACTCTGAGTCAGACAGTGATGTTTCGCCAGGAAGGACAGGAGTTTAGGCGAGGGCCGGTCGTACGCCATCAGGGTCGGCTCTAAACTCTTATGCTACAAAACAGAGAGAAACAAAACGAAACATTTAATCAGCGAGGACGTTACTGAGCTCCCGGGCCGGTCACAAGACCAGACTGATAATCATGAAACCAGTACCAGACCTTGAAACATAACTAGAAGTCGTTAACCCATTAAAGGGTCAGTTCTTGTTTCGAATGACAGATGCACGTAAACTCCTTTTTGTGCGGCCGCTCAAGTTTAACATCTTTCAACTTTTCAGAAAGGCGCTGTTGACCTCACCGGCGCTCTTTTCTAAATGTATGAAATTCACAGTTTTTTAACCTCCTACAGATCGTGTCTTGCACCCACATCCTCCTCGCTTCGTGTCTGATCGGGTAAAAAACGATCTCAAATATAAAACACGCAGTAAAAAGTAACGGAGCCGGGTCGGTCAAACAGCGGCTGTTGTCAACAGACTGTTGTCATGGAGACAGGATGGACGTGCAGCGCTTTTCTTCTCAGAGCACAAACGCTTCATGCAAACAATCCCGAGCGCACAGCCAGCGGAAGAAACGCTTCTGCCCGGAAGAAACGCTAGGTGGACACGGGGCCTTAGGCCATCACAGAGCAAATATACTCAAATACTGAAAATACCCACCCTTGGTTTGACCCCTGAACACATCGGTCCATCATAACAGTGTTTGAGCTTCACTCCCTGAGAGTCGCCTACATATGCAGATGATGTTTTCAATCATTTACCTGCAGCATGAAGTCAAAGAGCTCCAGCCCGTAGCCGTGTCTCTGCACATTCTCTGATATGAAGAAATCCAACACACACAGCGGCTCGGCCTCTATGTGCGCCCCCTGTCTGTCCTGAGAGGAAGTACAACAAGAGGAGAGTTTAATCAAATCTGAGCTGCAGGACGAGTTAAAACAAAAATAAATGAAGACGGGTGACTCACCAGCAGGAACAACTTCTTGTAGCCGACTTTAAGAAATCCGACGACCACTCCCCGTCCTCTGTGTGTGTGTGTGTGTGTGTGTGTGTGTGTGTGTGTAAGGGGGTAAAGTAAAGTTTAGTGAGTCCGACATAGTTTCCACAAAGTATGAGTGATGAAAGTTGATCTGCTGCCATGAGCATTAGTCACACAGTCGCTTATGTGTCAAAAGTAAGGTACATGCATTGTGACTCAGTGTGTGTGTGTGTGTGTGTGTGTGTACCCGTTGCTCTCTCCGTCCTTCATCAGGTACAGCTGATGTCTCTGAGTCTGCAGTTTTGAAGCACTTGTTATTGGAGCAGTGAGCTGCTGAGCCTGAAGACAGAGACACACTGTTACACCCTGAAGAACCGAGACCTGCACTTCCTCATGTGTCCACTAGAGGTTGTCCCCAAAAGTGAGTCAGTCCCAACAGAGCCCCATGTTAACATGACGAACTTCACAGCCATTGTTTCCAGCCTGGTACAAAAACAGTCTGTTTACATTCTATCAAGGCCTAAAGGGATGTAAAATAAGGGGCG